CTCCGATGGATTTTAGATCATCCTCTATATTATCTTGATACCTAAGTTTTGGTCTTCCTCTGGATCGTCTTTCCACTGGTCCTCTTCGGTCGAAAATTTTTCTGATCGTTGTATCTTCATCAATAATGTCTATGTCATCTGCATATCCAACCACTTGTACAGATTTATTAAAGATGGTACCATTCGTATTAATATGGCACTCTCGAATTACTTTTTCTAGTGCAAGGTTAAATAAGAGACACGACAGTTCATCTCCCTGTCTCAGTCCATTTTTACAATAGAAGGGTCTTGAAAAGTCGTTTTGGATTCTGACTACACTCTCTACTCCTGTGAGTGTAAGTTCCGTTAGTTGAACAAGAAGAAGCGGCATTTGAAATTACACCATAGCCTGTAGAAGTTTTTGTCTGTTGACTGAGTCGTATGCGGCTTTGAAATCCACGAATATGTGGCGGGTGTCGACTCCGAACTCAAGCGTTTTCTCAAGAATCTGCCTGACTGTGCAGATTCTGATGCCTCATTGCTTATGTTTATATCCGCCATGTAATTGTTGTTTAGGCAGTTTTGCTGCAAGTTTCCTATGATAGATAGATGAGAGGCCATACCCACAACATTATGAAATTATACGCACTTATTAAGCCTAATCCAGTACAATAAATTTTTTAGGTTAGGTACCTTTACCTCTGAGCCACTCATTTAATAATGGTTTACAGTAGCAAGTACTCTTTTTGGTTAAGTTATTGTTTTAATAGCATAATGCTTGGGCAATCAATATTTCATCTCCTGCGCAACAGAGTATTTTTTACTTCTTTGTTTCCCATTCTGTAGAGAAGAGTGGACACTACTCGAAAAAAGGAGCTAGTTTGCCCACCGGGTTGACTTGTTTTATCTGGTGGGCAAAGTAACCCCCTTTAGGTAAAATCTTATAACATCGACCTTGTGTCATCACTTTAATAAATATAACCTGATTGTAATCGAATTGAAAGGTTTTTAAACCTATTTCAGTAGTTAGTTTGAACTACTTCTTAAAATGTTTCACTGATGATGCTTCAACTGGATCGAAAACGTTTTGGAGTAATTCTAATCCTTTTGGATACATTTTAATTATTTTTTAATTTTACTTCTCTGTAAGTTTTTTTAAACTATAGTATATAGCTAACTACTGGAACTTTCCACTTTTAATTACTATTAAACTGGGAATAAGCCACAATTAAAGATAAAAATACGTTTATTGACGTTTTAATTTCCACTTCGGAAATCGTTCTCAAAATACAAACAGTAAATTAAACAAATTTTGTTAAAAAAAAAAACAAAAAAACAAAATTTGTTTAATTTACTGTTTGTATTTTGAGAACGATTTCCGAAGTGGAAATTGAAACGTCAATAAACGTATTTTTATCTTTAATTGTGGCTTATTCCCAGTTTAATAGTAATTAATTTACAATGCCACAAGAAAATAATTTCCACTTTTACTTTGTTATTTTTTATTCTTCTTACAAATGCATGTGTTTAATTCCTTCAAAAATCAATATACCTAATTGCACAAATGTTTTCTAGTGTTTGACGCCTCGGCTAAATTTCCCAGCGGTGTCCTGTACGGTTCTCCATATGCTCTTGGCAACTTCGACCAATGTGTTGACATAAAAGTACCGTATTCTAACGATCCTTTCGTTGGACAATACTGCATGGTCAAAATTACCGTCACCCCAAATGCTAAATATAAAATATCGGAAAAAATAGACTACGAGTTTGGAAAATATGAGACCTTTTTCAATGTTTCGGCGTGGAGCAAAATGCTGGTAAGTTAAAAGATGTAGATAGTTATTATGTCACTAATTTTTATTCTTATTAATACACTCACCGGCAAAATTAACGGAACACCTTAAAAATGGGACATGTTAGATGACACGAATTTCCTAAACCTGTTGTCCGATTTTAGTGATTTTTTTAGTATGTTATAGGTATATTATTTAAGAATATCAATGAAATAATATTGTTGCTAGACAGGTCAACGTCATTTTATACCGGGTGTAACAATCATACTGTGTTTTTTCCTTAAAGTTCGAAACACCCTGTGGAATATTCTAGCATATATAAAATATTGAAATTAAAGCTCAATTATAGTCTCAGGCTTTCTTAACATTTTCATTCATTTGCTTGTGTTGGATAATAAAAAAGTTAGGTACGTTAACAACTAGCCATGTTTTTCATCAATAAATGCTCATTTTCTTCTTAGTTTTACCAGCATATTTAAAGGAACAACCATAAAATCTGAGTATTTTCTCTCTAGTCTATATACTGTTTAGATAATATCGTAATACGAATGTTGGTGAAGTATTTTGAATTTATATTACAACAGTAGTACAGATAGTAGTACAGATATTAGTAGTACAGTTTTGTCGGTCAGATAGCTCAGCGGGCTGTGCGGCTGCCTCTCATTCGCTTCACTGTCGAATGGTTCAGTGGATGTGGGTTCGAGCCCCAGCTCGGTGTACTGAAAACAAAAAGTCTAACGCAGCAGTTTAAAATTCTAGATGAATCTGCGGCTTAGACTAGGATATGCTGGGATCTGATCGGCCTATGGTGGAGCAGTACGGCAAGAGATAAGGGCTTGCGGCTTGGTGATACTCCTCCATAGATCCCTACCGGACGGGCGTAACGCCTAAAAAACCGGATATATATATATATATATATATATATATATATATATATATAAATTATGATTTTTGAGGATGCAGTCAGTTTATTTGGCCCACAAGACAAAAAAAACTCTTTGACTTACTGTCAAGCTTTCGAATTTTATTTAATTCTTTTTCAAGACATTATTGTTATATTATTTATTATTGTTATTATTATTTATTTTTATTATTGTTACTGGTTTTGCTTTCCACATAAAGTAACTGTATTTTCATTCATATATGTCCATTAATCAAACCATGACAATGACATATATAGTGACAATATAGTTATTTTTAATAAAAAATTTTTTTTAATATATTTATAATGGTTTGTTTTGTAAAGTATAATAATAGTAACGACTGTAATCTCACGACTAGTAAGTAAGACAATTAACAATTTTAACTAGTTAATTTATATTTCTTTTTATAGATGTCTTGAAAAAGAATTAAATAAAATTCGAAAGCTTGACAGTAAGTCAAAGAGTTGTCTTTGTCTTGTGGGCCAAATAAACTGACTGCATCCTCAAAAATCATAATTTATATTTAAATCAACAGTCAAGAATACCACCAACTTATATATATATATATATATATATATATATATATATATATATATATATATATATATATATATATGTATATATATATATGTATATATATATATGTGTGTATATATATATATATATATATATATATATATATATATATATATATATATATATATATATAGTACAATATAAAACCTGTTTAAGAAGAAATAAAACACAAAGATGTCAGACTCAACAAAATACGGATTTTAAATGCATTAACTTTATTGTACAGTTTGAACTTAAATTGTTTTTTATGCATTTTTTGGCTTTAATAGCGTGTGTTTCCCCTACGAGCCCTTACAACTGCAGTTATTCGTCTTCTAATACTTCTGATAACGCTATCGATCAGTTGTTGGGCAGCCTCTCCCATTCCTCAATCTTTTGCAATTGTGACTTCTTCTCTGTTTTGAGCAGCAGGAACCCGTGCCCTAAGTTTTCTGCCTAGCATGTCCCACATATCCTTTATCGGGTTTAGGTCTGGGGAACAAGCTGGCCAATTCATCGTTGTTATACCCACTTGTAATAAGAAATATCTTACACTTACACTCTTACACTATAAAATAAAATTTTCGCCAATATATGGTGAAAAAGGTACCACATGGTCTTGGAGAATATCTCTGATATACTTATCTGCTGTTAATGCTCCACCATCAATCACCACTAACTCTGTTATTGCTCCCAAACATATACCGCCCCACACCATAATTGAACCTCCACCAAAAGGTACGGTCGTAGTAAAATTGAAAGCGGCATTTCGTTCTCCTTGGCGTTAATACAATCTTTCTCTACCGTCGATGTAATTTACACAGAAACGGCTCTCGTCCGTAAAGAGAATTTGACTCCAGTGGTTATCATTCCAATTTTGATGTACTCGACCAAATTGTAGTCGTGCTAAACGATGGTGTCTCTGGAGTCTGGGAGCTTTTATTGGCACATATGACTTGAGACCGGCTTCTTTAAGTCTCTTTCTTATTGTGCGCTCAATTAAATACAAGTTTGTACTTGTTATGAACAGACATAATGACTGTAAAATGTAAAACACAATACAAATAAACAAATTAATTTGACATTTTGACATTTAAGACTTTCTTGTGACAAGGAGCTTTCAAAGCTATGTAGATATAGTCTATAAAATACAAATATAAAGAAATATTGCATTAATAACAGGTTCCTTTAAATTTGCCGGTGTGTGCATTAAATTGTTAACTTCTCATAGCCTACTTTAGTCTTGTTTTTAAACTAAGCAGAAAATGAGGATTTATTGATGAAAAACATGGCTAATTGTTAACGTACCTAACTTTTTTATTATCAAACATAAGCAAATGAATCAAAAAAGAAAATGTTAAGAAAGCCTAAGGCTATAATTAAGTTTTAATTTCAATATTTTATATATGCTAGAATATTCCACAGGGTGTTCCGAACTTTAAGGAAAAAACACAGTAGGATTGTTACCCCCGGTATAAAATGACATTGACCTGTCTAGCAACAATATTATTACATCGATATTCTTAAGTAATATACCTATAACATACTAAAAAAATCACTAAAATCGGATAACAGGTTTAGGAAATTCGAGACATCTAACATGTCCCAATTTTAAGGTGTTCCGTTAATTTTGCCGGTGAGTGTATTTACTTTGCTATCTCTAAATGGGTGTTTTTCTCATCTACCGTTAATGACTTTTTCATATTATGTAGAAGACATCACATAATGCAATATACTTTTATACTTCTAGGCATACAAAGATGAAAAATCTAAAGCATCCAGAAACGAAATCTACTTCTCATTTTGCATACCATCATCTTGCTCTCATGAAGATCTGAAACAGCAGCTGATATCTCTTGCAGAAATTATCAACCACGATTTTAACGAAACAATTTTAACAATTGACGTTGACAAAAAAGACTGCCAAATCCGTGAGGAGTATAAAGTATCCACTGGAGATGCCGTATTTATGTAAGTATATATCTTCTTCTTAACGTACCATCTCCGTTTTATTAGAGTAAAAACCAAACCACTTTTTTAAATTCCGCAGCCAAGACATTGTTCTTTTCTTTATACTTCTTCCTTCCACAATTTTTCCCTGGATAATATTTGATAGAAGTGGATATTTATTTCTCTGCATAACATGTCCAAAATATTAAAGTTTTCGACTTTTGATCTTCTTCTTTTGACATCTCCGCGACAAAGGTTGGCAATCATAATGGCTATTCTGATCTTAGATGCTGCCGCTCTGAATAGTTCGATTGATGTGCATCCTTACCATTCCCACAAGTAACACAACCATGAGATTCTTCTCTTTCTTACACTTTTCTTGCCCTGGATTTTTTCTTGTCTAATTAATTGAAGTATGTTGTATCTTTCATTACGCATAACATGCCTCAGGTATTGCAGCTTTCGTGTCTTGATGGTTTCCAATACTTCCATTCTTTTGTCGACTCTTCTCATGACTTCGTTGTTCCATGCTCGGTCCATGATATCTTTAGGATTTTTCTATACACCTACAATTCAAATACTTCCAACTTTTTAGTAGTCAACGCGTTAAGTGTCCATGCTTTTATTTCGTAAAGCAGATTCAAGAAAATATAACACTTTGCTAGCCTAACTCTTAAGTCTAATTTCTGTTCTGTTGCACAAAGTACCTTTCTCATTTTATTGAAGTTTGTTCGTGCTTTCTCTATTCGAACTTTGATTTCTTTGGAGTAATCGTTTGTGTGATTAATTATTATACCAAGATAATTGTAGTTTTCAACTTGTTCTAAAGTTTTACCATTCATTGTCAGGATATATGGAAGAGCTCTTCCATATATTCTTTCCTTCGTTTTAGCTTTCCGTCAGTCGTTATCATAGTATTTCCATTTTTATCTAAAAGAGTTTTGTTGTGGTTTCTGTTTTGCAGCCCTGTCATATCTTTAATCTTTTTATGTAGGTTGAATAGGTCTTATTTGCTCTGAAAATCTTCTATCCCATTACATTTTTCCTCATAGTAAGTTTGTTTTGCCTCTCTTATCATTTTTCTGATTTCATTGTTAACGATTTTGTAATTGTGACTGTCTTTGTTCTTGGCTTGTCTTCTTTGGTCCATCCTGCCGAGTATTTCGTCGGTCATCCAGTTGTCTCTCTTTTTTATCGGTTGTTTTAATATTTCGGAACGGGGGGCAGTTTTTTAATGTTTTCCATTATTGGTTTATCTCGTAGGTATTAGTATCTAATTTATCAAAGTTTTTGTATTCCGTATTTCGTATTCTGTTGGAGTTTGTTTTTTATATCAGCTTCTTTTAGTTTTCCAACATCTAACATCTACTGGTGATCTCCATGTTTATAAGCGTCTTATAGGTAATTTAAAGAATGTGTTTGTGATTATTAGAGTTTGTTCTTGGAATAATTGTATTATATGATCTCCTTTATCGTTACGTTCCCCTAGTTCTTGATCTCCCATTATTGTTCCAGCTCTCCGCTTGCCTACTTTTGCATTGAAATCGCCCATAACTACTGTGATTTCCCTGTTCTTGGTCATTTTCAGTGCATCTTCAATTTGTTGGTAGAATGTTTCTACTTCATCTTCTGTTGCATCCATCATTGGCGCATATACTTGGATCAAATTTAGTTTTGTGTGGACTTTTGATTCGTGTGGACTCGACTTTTGATGGACAGCAATTATTTTCCTTTTCTCATTGTTCTGAGTACCTCTGCATTTGATATTTTATTAGTCTAAGGTATTTTCGATATTACTCTATAGTACTCTACTAAGGCCATAGTTCGAATACTTCTATTGTGCTCACGATTCACGTCTCCACACTATATAAAAGGACATAATAAATAAAACATTTTACTATACGTATTTCTTACTTTCCTCAAAGATGAATCACTATAGAAGATTAAATAGAAATTTTACTAAGCCAATTAACGTTTTGACAATCTTTAATTGTCACCTTCAGAGCTGAAGACCGAACAAAACGTAATATTCCTTATGTTCTTTTTTACTAATTTCCTAAATTTTATATTATATCCTAAGTTATCAGTAAAATGTGTTTCTTTTGTAGATTTATTGCGTCATTGTGCATTGTAATAGTAATAGGATGCTCAATATATGACATGATTACTAGAGATGACGACAGATGCATGCCAAAAGTAACAGGTAAGTTTCTAATTAAAATATTATTAATATATGTCTGAAATGTAAATTGATATTTTCAACATCTGTGCATTTAAATTTATTTCTATTATTTTTAGGAAAATGGCACGATCTATTTTTATGTTTTTCCTTTCCTAAAAACCTGAAGAAACTAGCTACCAAGACTACCAATGAGGACGGATTGGAATGCTTAGCTGGCGTGCGTGTGCTGTCGATGTTTCTGATCATTTTTGGACATAGATGCATGTTTACTTTTGGATCCCCTCTTATCAATCCCATCTTTATAGAACAGGTAAGCACTAGTAAATATTTGTATCATTAAAATGATAATTTTTAATTATTTTTTATATACAGCCATCGAAAAGAATCGTAATTAAGTTGCCGAGGCAATTTAATCCATAAGACTAAGAATTTAATTAGTTTTTCTTGTTAAATAAAACTGGAACATAACTATGGAGTTGAAATAAATGAAACACACAGTAAATAACGAATCAAAGGCTGTGCATGTATTAACAAATGATCGAAATTTTCTTCATACTGTTCAAAATTTTAATCACTTTCGTGTTTTACATTTTTAGATGTACTCGAAATTTGAAGCAGGAGTAGTTTTAAATGGACCGATGATAGTGGACACATTTTTCCTGGTCTCAGGATTTCTTGCCAGCTACATTATTCTCTTAACTTTGAGGCATTCCAGTAATGCTCTAAAAGTAGGATTGATTTACGTACATCGATTGATAAGGTAAGAAAACAAAGTGGTAAGAGATTTGATCTCTAAAAAGCGTACGAACAAACTTGGTTTAACTGAGAATGTCAATTTTGGGACCTTAACCCTTTCAATCCCAGAGGTACTTAGAAGTACTATAATCCTTTTCCATCATATTGATAGCACATTATGTATTCAAATCCTCAACAGGTCAAAAAACCATAGGCGTCACCCTATACTTGTTTTGAAATAAATAAAAAAAATTAATATTTTAAGATGCCGTCAACAATTCATTATCCTTTAAAAAATCTTGTGTAAAATAAGTGTCCACTAATCCCACTATACCTTTTTTGTGCGTAAAAAACGTCGGTATATATGCCACACGATTATTGTTAATTATACACGGGTGATTAACGAGATAATTCCATGTGTCACGAAATAAATTAATGTAAACAGTAATTTAAAGGTGATTATTGTTTTCTATACAAGTTATCGCCTGGCAAAAAAAGAATACCTTCTTTGAACCATTACCTGGAATTACTGATAAGACTTCACTAATGATAGTTTAAGTAGTTTTTATGCCACATTACAGCTTATGTCAATAATATAAATTAGAAATTGCTTGCATCTTCCATTTAGTTTGTAGATGTACATTGTTCATATCTTACCTACCTACGTTTTTGGTGTCGATATTTTGTTATTTGCATTTAAAATTGAAGTCGACAACAGGTTTTATCCCGGTTAAGTGTAATTTTAAAGGTGCCTTCAGTCTTAGAAAAAAAAAATATAATATTAAATGTACACGATGCACTTGTACATCAACGCCCTTTAAGTAATGTTCGTGAAATCATTAACATGTGTTCAAATATGACAGGGGTTGGAGAAGCAACAATTTATAGATTCCTAAAAGAAAGAAAAAGAGGAACTGTTTCATCTCCCAAGCAGAGTGGAGGGAGTAAACCCTTGGAAATTGAACAAATACATAAAAACATGATAAGACGCAGTCCACTCATTTTTTTTTAACAAAGAATTTCCAACATTGGACAAAATCCAAACATTAATTAGAGAAAACGAAGAGTTACCAATCATAAGCAACAATAAATTATGGGGACTATTGAGAGAGATGGGATTTTGTTGGCAAAAGAATAGAAGAAAATCCGTTTTAATTGAAAAAGATTACATTGTATGTTGGAGACGAGATTATCTAAGAACTATTAAAAAGTACCGAGAAGAAGGGAAAACAATTTTTTTATTTGGACGAGACTTGGCTAAATGAAGATCATACTGTACCATATCTATGGATTGATACAAATGTGAAAAGTTTCCGTCAGGCATTCATCGAAGGTGTATCTACTGGAATAAACAATATTCCCGTTGGAAAAGGACGCAAACTCATAATAACCCATATTGGAAACGAATACGGTTTTGTTAATGGTGGATTATTAAGTTTTGCCTTAAAATCAATCAAAGATTAACACGAGGAAATGACTGCTGACGTTTTTGAAGAATATTTTGAGCAAATGTTGGATTTAATTCCAAAAAATTCTGTCATAGTCATGGATAATGTTAGTTACCATTCAAGACTAGCAGAAAAATTGCCAACAATGGCATGGAAAAAAGGAGAGATAATTGAATGGTTGGATAAACACGCAATTGGGTACAAGGAGAACTCAATAAAAAAAGAATTATTTCGTTTACCCCCATACCACTGTGATCTGAACCCGACAGAAAATATATGGTCTCAAGTAAAGGGTGAAGTCGGAGGCAACAACAAAACTTTCAAATTAGAAGACTTACAACAATTATTAGAACATTCCTTATCAAAAGTAACTTCAGAAAATTGGAAAAATGATGTTAGTCATGCTCACAAAGAAGAAAATAAATTGTGGAATTTGGATAATATGACTGATGCAATGCTGGAACCGATAATAATTAACATTGGAGTTGAAGATTCCTTAGATTCTGAAGAAAGCAGTGAATCTGAAATAGAATTTGATTAAAATAATATTCATTTTTTTACAAATCAGCCCCTGTTACGGCCACAAATTATTTTATATATAACCAATAAAATAAACATCTAACATTTCTTGCAAATTCATTAGTACCTGTTAATCTCCATCATTCCGACACTGCCAACTTTATTTAGGGATTAGTAACCCTCAAAACTATTGTATTCTAAATCCACAAGGAAAACAATTCCTGTAGCTGGCTGTATACCACGTATCACAAAAAAGAGGTTAGTCTTCGTAAATGGCTATATTTATTTAAAAAACCCTTAAAAGGGCTACATCATAAAAACAAACGTTTTCGGACTAAACAGTCCATCATCAGGTTTAAAATTGCTAGGTTAAAATGCCTGAGCCACCAAAATATCAGGGTAAAAACCCTTTAAATTTTAAATTTTAAACCTGATGATGGACTTTTTAGTCCGAAAACGTTTGTTTTTATGATGTAGCCCTTTTAAGGGTTTTGTAAATAAATATACCCATTTACGAACACTAACCTCTTTTTTTATTGTATTCTATTCTGCTTCAACCTTTATACCTGGTGGTCATACTCAATTTAAAATTGTTTTCCTATATACTTCTGTAAACTTGTTGACAAATATCTATTTTTCATTGAGTCACCCGTATCAACAGTTTAGGGATTTGCATACATAATGTGCTATCAATATGATGGAAATGGACTATAGTAACCGGAACCATACTTATATCCCAGATATTGATATCATAAAAATAACATTTTTTTAATTAATAGAAGATCATATAAATATCTTTTAATAAATTTTAAACAATTTAATTTTCATAATTAATGTTGTGTTCTTACTAAAACAATATGGTACTGAAAAGTACTGCTAGGATAAAGTCAGAGCGGAAGAAAATATTAAGACATATTATAGTTGCTATATATTTTAATTATTTGTCTCATAATATTTTATGAAACAGTTCTTGTCTGAATTGAATTCTTTTATCAACTCGTTAATGTTTTTTTAGGATGACACCAGCGTATGCAATCATTTTGTTATTCTACTGTACCGTATATATGAGCCTGGGTAGTGGACCATTTTGGCAAGAGAGAATTGGAGTCGAAAGAAATCGTTGTGTGGAGACCTGGTGGGCTAACTTAGCATATGTAAATAATTATGTCAACACAGAAAATTTAGTAAGTAGAATTCGATATATTTTTTTTGAGCAAAATCTTCATAATCATCTTTACAATTTTATAAGACAGCAATTTAATGGATGGTTTCTGACCTATTTACATTTCCAAAATGATAATATATATTCAAAGACTAGCAACTTACGCAAGAGAAGATAGTCCGATTTGACATTACTTGAAAATTGTATATAGTAACCTTCAATTGGCCAGTAAATTCCTGTCTCATATCATTTAACACATTGCAATAGGATAAGAAGTATATGACTCTTCTTCCATTTCCCATTTTCTGCACCATGATTCCATTCATCTTACCTATTTAGTATAAGTGTTTTCCAAACGACAGTGTCCAGTCATCATTTTGGGAGGCCGTTTTAATTTCTCGTTAACTAAGGTCAATATTTTTGAATTTGCCATTGAGTGGTTTATTTTTTTGATGATTCCTTATCAGCTACTTCTAAGCTTCGTTTCTTGCATAATCCACAGAATGTTTCTGGATTATAAAGGTTTCTCTCGAGCTTTGTTTTGCCAACAAATCTGCTCGTTTATTCTCACGCACCCCTTCATGACCAAACACTCATATCTGCAACAGTACTGGGACATTTTCCCCTAGCCACTATTACAATATCGTCTGAAAAATCCCTGGATTCAGCTTCCTTGGCTGTTAAGCCAATAATTAGGTCATCAACGCCTACATTCCATAATGTTGGTGACAATACACTCCTTAAGGTTACCTCTTTGTTGCCCTTAACTTTATGGTACTTTTATACGTATCTGTAGATATTATTCTGCTCTGAAACGTCTGAATAATCTACTTGCATGTTGTGTGTTGTTGATTTTCTTCCATATCTGTAGCTATGTTTTGACTCCATAGAGGTATGCACCTTTCATGTGCAATAATGCAACAAGAATGACATCTTTCTGGCCGAGTTCCGACCCAAATTGTACAGGGCTCCTTCACTTAATTTCTCTGTTTGATAGGTCCATTATTGTTTTACGTGTTCATTCAAGATTTTATTCATAGTTTTTAACATGAATTTTAGAAAACATAATATGTTTTCCTGGTTTAGGAATAAACTCGACCCTCGCTCTTTTAAAAGCTTTGTGAATGTCTCCAGTGTGTGGCTAGCTCTAAGTATTTGGACCAGAGGTCTCATAATTATTATAGTTAGCAAGGTGATCTTGCATAGTGCACACTTAGCTGGAGTGCTTCTAGGTTTTTTACAATCTTTTGTAACATGTTGTCCTCCACATTTGACGCAGTAATGCGGTTTAGTGAAATATGTTTTACTATGGCCGCATGCTTGACATCGCATGCATTGGATGATTGAGTTTCTCTTATTTTTTGCCTCGACTGCTATTTTGGTGTGACATAAGAATTCTAGATTGAATATGTCTTTGTTGTTAGTGTTGGGTTCAAGGTCTATATAAAATAAAGTTAAGGGTTCCTTTGTTTGTCTGTGTCGAATGTTAGTTCTACTGCGAACTTTATGGCCGAATTTTTATAGTTCCTTTGTTATTTCCTTTTGTTTGTATAGAGTGATGGATATGTCTTATTACCACTCTGTAGGTACGTTCTTCCTTTATTTGGTAAGTGTGATGAATGATTTCTTCTTCTCGTAAATGTCTTATCAGTCTCCGGTATGTATCTATTGTATATGTTGTAATCTTGACAGTGTCGTTTGGCAGAGTTCTAGTATAGTAGGTTTATTCCTCCACAATTTGTGCAAAGTTATCGACCATATCTTTAAAGTTTTTGACGCCATATACGAATATTGGAGGTGGTTTTTGTATTTTCTATTGTTTTTCAGTCTATTCAGAGCTTTCGGCGTTTGATAATGCACTGTATCGATTTTGTATTTTTGCTGGTGATAAGCTTGGAGAATTGAGATCGTTATTTTGTTTTGAAAATTTACGTTTTTTGTCCACTTTCCATGAGTTTTTATTTTGGGTTTCCTGATCGTCGTCTTTTCTACACTCTATATCCGAGTTTTCTGAATGTGTAATTACAAGTTTTACTTTGTGTTTGAGGTGTGCCCTACAGTAGATGGGTGGCTTGGGTTGTAGTAAATTTATTTTGGTTGTAGTGAAAATTGTTGTGTTTGTGATTGTGGTGGAAGATCGAATTGATTTTGTGGAATGTTTGATATAGTACTTAGTATTTGTTGGTTGCCAGTATATGTGGTTTGGTGCATGTTCAGATATGTATTCTAGTGGCGAATATTGTTGGGAAGTTGTACATTTTACTGAATGTTTGTTAATAGTGGACCTGCTGCTTACCTGCAATTTCTGCTGATACTACAATAGACACTGATTGTTTGTGTTCCGTGTGTGTGACTTGTTCATTGTAGAAAACAGAGTTTGGTAAGCCACTGCCACTTTACTGTTTATTTTCATAACTAGAATTTTAATAATTTAATTGTTTTTATCGGTGGTCACTTTTTGCTATCGCTCTACGATATTCAAGTGAAAACTCCCCACACATTTTTCATGAGTTATTTTATTTTTTAGTGTATGTTCCAGTCTTGGTACATTACTTGTGACATGCATTACTTCTTGACAGTACCATTTTTGGTACTCTTATTGAAGTGGAACGCGCTGTATGGGGTCGTCCTTATTGTGACTATAATAGCGTGCTCGATACTGGTTGTAGGGACCTCCGTATACCTTAATAATGAAACGCCTATATTATTGGTCTATACAAAGTAAGTATAACATTTTATTTATACAAATAAAAGTTTTTATGTACATTATATTACTTTTTTAGGTTATTAAAAGATCCAGTTAGTAATGCGACGTTTAGGAACATTTATATCCCGTCCCACATGCGAGCCAGTCCGTATTTCCTGGGAGTCCTGACAGGCTTCATCAAGTACAAACTGAAACATTCGACGTTCAAACTACCGCAGTGGCTAACTCGTACAGGATGGTTTTTGGCCATTGTTGTCACTCTAGGTACTCTTCATGTGGGTTATATCTTTTATATGCCAGAATTTAAGGAGATGACAATTTTATCGGCTGTGTATGCTGGATTTCATCATTTTACTTTTGCTCTTGGTATAGCGTGGTTAATAATTGCTGTGTCATCGGGAAAAGGGCGTAAGTAAAAAGCTTTAATTACCCAGTGGGGCCACAATCTAATTGATATACTTTTTTTTATTTCTTTAATCGTTTTGATCATCTGTTTAAATGTACAATTCACTTTATGGGAATAACGGGAGACTTACCAAAAGGTGGAAGATTTAAGGGCTTGAGCTTAGCAAAAAGATCTCACTATTTATGGAGAAGCAAAAATGCTGGATATAGAGGACCGATAAACAAAAAAATTAGTATTACTAGTAATAGTAATAGTAATTAACAAAAGTATTGTTTTTTTTAATCCCGGTAAGAGTAAAACAAAAAATCGTAGAAAAAAGAATGAGAATGTTAGGTCTTAATTAATTCTAATTTATTGTGTCCATTATTTATCAAAGGTTCTATATTTATAACACTTACAACTTAATTTAAAGTTTATTTATACGAATTTATCTTACAATAATAACTACATAATTTATTTTAATACGAGCATTACATTTTAAAATACCTGTCGCGATCTTCGTTTCTGACTGACTGTTTTCTAAAAAGGTCCCGTTATATACCCATACAGCTATTAGCGTAGAATGTCTCGAAGGATGTCGACCCTTGGCGAAAATACTGGAAGTTTACGGGCTGGTTTTTCATTCAACCTATTTCCGGAACATTCGAATTGACCGATTTTTCTTTATTACTTGGAATTTCTGCCATCTAGTCGAAGGGTCGTAAAATCTAGAACATATTAGTGAATAAACAACATATTTACAGGTTTTTAATATGACTCATATTTTTTACGTAGCAAGAATTAAAACAATTGATAAAAACGGTTACAGAACAAAATTGCGTTGAACAATTGTCTCCATTAATTAACAATGAATACTCACTCTGGAAAGCCACAAGATACCTAAAGAATCCTATAAAGTCAATACCACCAATTAGAAACATCGCTGAACAATAGACAAAAAATCATGCAGAAAAAGCCACAGTATTTAGTGAATATGTAGTAAAAGTATTCCGATTACATAATTTTGTATCAAACCCTACAGAAACTCAGGATATAGGAAGGGTCTTAGACGGGCCTATCCAAATGAAGTTCGCAATAGAGAAATTTACATATATTGATTTGTAATCAATTATCATAAAAGAAATCGACCCGAACAAATCTCCTAGTAAGGATACGAATTGTATTCTGCAGATATTTAATGCTATTGTAAGCCTTAGTTCTTTTCCACAATAATGAAAAATAGCGGAAGTCATAATGGTGGCGTACCTAGCGAAGATACCTGAAGATAAGTCAATCAGTCTATTGTCAATTATATCCAAAACATTTGAGAAATTGTTAGTAAAAAAGCTGTAAGTAAAATTGTAAAGCCAATCGACAACGATCTAGAAAAAAGACGATACTGTTCCGCAGCCTTTCTGGATTTAAGTTAGGCTTTTGATAAGGTCTGATACACTGGCCTGCTTTATAAAATCAAAAAGCATCTACCGCATAGATTCTAGGGTGTACGGGAATGTGCTGACTTGTCCCTAGTTGAATCAGATGTACCGCAAAATAGTGTTCTTGGACCTGTTCTTTAATTACACTTACCTTTACCTACAAAAACCTACCAAATTGTCCAAACAATATTAAATCTTGGCTGAACAAACGATAAATGAAAGCTACTGAAGCCATCTCTAAACACTTAACTTTCACAATGGAAAGGGTCACAATAATTGGTATACAGCCTCAACAAACCAACGGCGTAAAGTGTCTTAATATGCATTAGATCGACGTATGACGTGGAGAATACTAATCTTTACAAAACGCAAACAATTGGGTTTAAAACTGCACCGAATGTACTGGCTAATTGGCAGGAAATACCTTAGACATATAATACAAGATAGACTGACTGCTGAAGTACGGTCGGGTTCCCCCAGTGCGACAGAAAAAACTGACGTAAAGCAGTTCCTGCATCTCTGTCTAATGGGCCGGGTTTATCGACTACGTGATCATTGGTCATTTAGGTCACGTGGTCGATAAACCTCGCAATTTAAAAAGATAAGCAGGGACTGCTTTGCATCAGTTTTTTCTGTCGAATTGGGGGAACGGGCGGATATTGCAACGATCAGTCTATCTTATATTATATATTCATAGGAAATCCAAAATAAGAATAGAAAATAAACTTCTCACTTAGTATTCTGCGACTTCTTAGATGAAGTCTATGTCTTCGTCTTGGTGATAATTTAGTGTACACTCTCTCTAGAGAGTCCTCCTTATCATCTTAGCTTTTTCTTCAATGATGTAGACGATGCCATTTTCTCCATATAATGGGGGATGGGTTTTCTGTCGTTACTTAAAGTTCTTTGAAGTTACTTAATAATTCGCATATTTGGACCCTGTTCATCCATTTCTTGTACGTACTTGTCCCACCTTCGGATTCTGTGTTCTGCCAATGCCGTTTTCACTTTTCTATTTATAGAGGTTACTCGGTTTTTATCTTCCTGGTTTCTTGTTCTTCTGGCTCTCTTTTTGGCTCTGTTTTCTTCCTTAACCATATCTTTTGTTTTCTGGTTTATATCTCTAAACCTTCCCATGTGCATTTCTAACTCTTACCTTATCAATCTGACCCGAACAAGAATCACCTGAACGAGTAAGACTTAAAAATATCATCCGTAAAAACAGAAATAACACGTTAAAGTAATCAACACAAATATAAAGCCAGTAATCATTGTAATGTACAAGTTAGCGTGAGCTACACAAAACCATAGGTGTCTCTTAAAACGATTTAAAGCAACGGAATTGAATGATAGATCTAGGTAGATAATTATAATATGATCAATATTAATATGGTAAACTATTATTAAAAGTATTTTCTAGGTGGAGAAAATTCGTACACTAAATATTCGTCAAAAAAGTTTCCCTATTGTTCCTATGCTAAGAACAGATTGTATATAAAGTGGAGACAAAAAAATGTATATATACTATTCAAACAATAGGTTTATCAGTATATGCTGGTTTAGTAACCCGTTCTTAATTAGTTTATCTGAATTACTACTTTTTTACGACAGAAGCCGTCTATTTAATACAGTGATGGCAAGAAACTGGCATCTACTAATTTTTTACTTTGCATTTGACACGCTATGGGCATCTTAGGTAATCAGTTGTAAGCTCGTAGATTTTATAGGTAATATAGTAAGATAGGTAGTTATTAGGAATTTTTCTGTACTCTTTAAAAAATCTTAACAAGATTTTTCTTTTCAGCATGGATTGATCCAATACTTAGCTGGAAACCTTTTGTTCTTCTCAGTCGTTTAAGTTACTCGGCTTTCTTATGTCATGGCGCCGTACAGCTGTATACAGCGGCGACTTTGAGAGAACCCAATTACGCATCTGTATTTGGCACTGTAAGTACTAATTTTCTTGACATTCCACAGCGCCGAAATTGAAGGGTAAAGAGGCACAATAAATACCAGTAGCAAGAGTTATTTCTGTATCGTGCTTATGGTATAGTAGAACTCAACGGTTGTTTCTAATATCCTTGTAAAGATTGGCAGGTTTACTTCTAAATGTGATTTCTCTTATTATATTTATTCTATTTTGTTGCCGTTCAGGCCTCTTAAGGACCGGGAAGGTTTTTACATCTTTCTCTAGACTCAGTTATCCTCCTCTGCCAGTGTAGGTTTTCATTTATATAGAATGTTCCTCTTTTCTTTGTTGTAACCACTTGGTAGTGCAGTTAGGAGTTGGGATAACGAGAGGAATAAAATTCTTAGTAGATTTCACCTTATCCCTGAGACCTTAACCACCTTAAAGGTGAGCAGGTGGAATTTCCCTTTGTGGCAAATCGTTTTTAACCTGACTTGCTCATTTTGAATAATATGATGGTCTTGAGATTGAAAAGTAAATGCAGTAGATAACTCTAAGGCTTCATACGTTCTAGGTAATCATAAAACATCACTTTCCGTTTTTTCATGTTGGTAATAATATGGCCAAGTGTTCACTCAAATAAACTCATGATTATTTCATAAACTCGAGATTTTTCTCAAAATTTTCCAATTTTTATTTCAAATTTTCGTAATGACTCTTACTTTATAGATTCCTGTAGATTCTTCTACAAAAATCTATAAAGCAGCAATTAGACCTATATTAACATACACGGCGGAGACAAGACCTGACACTTCTAAAACGAGACGACTGCTAAAAACAACGAAGATGAAAATACTCCGACGAATATCAGGGAGAAGTCTGTTGGGTAGAGAGAGAAGCGAAAGCATAAGAGGAGCATGCAATATAGAAGACATAAATGGATGAGTGTCAAAACGAAAACAGGAGTGGAACGAACTGTAGAATGGCAGAGGATATAATAGTACGAATAGCATTAGATAAGTCACCAAATGAACGAAGAAGTATTGCCAGACCAAGAAAAAGATAAAGCGACAAGTTAAACAATTTAGGAGGCTAATATTGAAGAAGAAACAGGCTTTAAAGCCTACATACTAGAAGGACGAAGAAGTAATAGCTCTTTCTTGGCCATAGTTAAACATTCGGATGGATATAGGGCTAACGGCTTGATCACTGTATTATAGTCACAGAGTTTTAATTATAAAGATAAGCTTCTGCTTTTGTACAGGTCCTTGCATAGATGAAATGCTCCTTCTAATTTTGAACATCTACCTTCAATCTCAGCATTCTCTGAACTATCACCTGTAATAAACTCTTAAATGTTAAATTTTTTAGATTGTTTGAGTTTTTTGTTGTGTTTTCATATAAAAGAGTTTCCATTATTGCTAAAAACCAGGTCATCGGCAAAAGCTATAATAAATAGTTTACCTTGAGACCATTCTTTTGTGCCCAATTTGTAGTTTTTATTCTTATTATTTTATTTGGCAATTCGTAAAATGTGGACTTTGCTTCTTTTAGATATTCCATCATTTCTTTATATCCTGAGGCTTTACCCATTTTTGTTTATCGATTGCTTCCTAATTTCTTTTACTGCTATTGGTTACCTTTCATTTTTATTATCGTAATCTTTTTCAACTTTATTTCTTCTTGGAAATCCGCTTTGTATTCACTTAGCTCTTCGAAGTATTGATTTCATCTATGCACTATTTTTTTCTGTAGTCAGTACGTTTTCTTCTGTGTCGATTTTTGATTTTCTCTATTTGGTTATCATTCTCTAATTTTGATTTTAAGTACCTTTTCCACATATCTTTCCTATATTTTGACATTTAATTTCATTTCTGGTGTCCACCATTTGCTTTTATTCCTATACATATACTCTATCATTCTCCTTCGTAAGAATGTAGTGGCATCATGTAACTCGTTTGCCTATTTTTTCTAATTATGATATCAAATGCATACCTGCGTACGGGTTGTTTTGCTTCACAATATGAATAACCCTTACTTAGCTACTTGGGGCAAAGTGGCTTAAGAGTACGCAGGTAACATATTTTTTCTATTATAAAATAAATGGTTGGGTTTTAATGATCAAATAAGTAATATGGCTGAAAACTACAAACATGTTAAAACTTTTTGACTGTAAAGTTGCACAAAACATAAAAAATTCAACAACATTCAAATGGTACACATGCGTACTCTTGGAAATATATCGTCCTAAGAGTAGGTACGCAGTAGAGATACTTTCTTAAGAGCGAGCATACCTTTTAAAAGCACAACAGAGCAAGGAACGTTAAAATAAATGAAAAATTACTTATCTGTTACCAACATAAGTTTATTCATAATCAAAGTAAAGTAAAAATATAAAATGTGCACACGTTTCATGCCGCCAGGCTATACATTGAAAGCACTGGATCCAGTCTTCATCTGGTGGTTCCACAAACTGTTCATTACATGCAGGACAAAATAATGTTCTTCGCTGAAATTTGATTCTACGCTGATTGATTTTCTTTATCCTCAATACTTATTTTAGCAGATTTCGTTTTCGATATCACCTGTCTTTTCAACTTTTTAGGATTCACACTTTTCACTACAGTGTTCTGATTTTCATTTTCACTTTTGTTTACATCTATTTGCCTTTTAACAGGCTTCTTTTTGTTGGAATTTTTTCTTTGAGATTCTGCCTCTAATATCTCAAGAGTTTCCTTAAAGGGCGTACTGGTTAAAATTTTTGAGCTCTTCTTTTCGAACTAAGAACATTTCATTTTTGGTAGTGGCCTAATATCGGATGGAGACCAAATGGAAGTTGATGGCTCAACGTTATCAATAGAAAGATAGTTGATTTTGCCGAAAATTGTTTAGCTTGATTGTCTTCTTGACCATCTTTATTAATCATTATTAATGTTGAGTCAGGACCATATATTAGGTATTTCAACTGGATCCATACCGATTTTCGAAATAATCATATTCAAGTGTAATAAATTTACCACACAACACGTTATTTTCAACAAAAGCAAAACTATAATACATAAACTATGCTGCAAGTACGTTTTTACACAATGGTCACATAAAGATATAATTTGTCAATTTGCCAGCAGAAGGTCTGTATTTATACGGGTAAAAGTTGAAAATGTAGAGAATAGATGTCCCTTCCACTTCTTAAATATATACATATTTTAAGAAAAAGAGATGTGCGCACTTTCCGGCTGGTGCCTACTTTTGGGCCACCTTACCCTAACGTTGAAAGAACCTACAAATTCGACCATTCCTCTAAGAAAAAAGTTTTATTTTTACTAAAATACTTTAACCTGTTTTCCAGATCTACGCAACATTTGGAGATATCGTTATGGCATACACTTTTGGCCTCATGCTCAGTATGTTCTTTGAATCACCAATAATCGGCATCGAAAAACTCATTTTCAGTAAAAACAAAGATCCACCGCCATTACAGCAAGACGGCAGAGTAACTCCTGTTATCAAACTCTCACCTATAGCAGCACGTCACACTATTAATAACATCAAGGAAGGAAAACCAGCACTTGAAGGTCAGGGATCTAACAATATCATGGACACATCTGATAAACATGTTAGTGTGGATGATACAGGAGATCACTCAGTTGATGATGAGGATAAAACAGTTATTGTGCATATACAAGAGTCTTAATTGGAATTTTTTAACTAGATCATTTATTTCACATGAAAAATTCATTAAAAATGTTCATTAATGGGATGTTACATATGTATCCAGTGATATTTTTTAATTAGTGATATGTAAATACTCTACAAATAATTTATTTTTATTTAAATAAATATTTATTATTTTTATTGTGACTTTAGTTCTTCAACATATAAATTATTCATTAAAGGGCATGTACCAGATGTGAATAGATTATTAAAAACCTTATACTACCTGATAATCCAACCTTTAACTTACGAAGCAGTTGTTTAGGCTTAATAAAACTAAACAAGAAGAAAAACATCCACTATTTATAATCTTAATTGATCCAGAGGCTTACATGTTATCAAAAAGTCTTATGTGATCTGACAGTCTTAACTCTTTGATAAAGTCATTGTATTGAAGCCAAACTAAAAGTAAGATGTCTCAGTTATTACATAATTTTCCTATAGGTACCAAGCATTGAGAGATTGTCTTCTCTTGATGTATCATCTCCATCCTTGCTATTAATAAACCTCATAAATTAAAAAATTCACTCAATTTTTATTAACACTTTGACTGCCATGTGTATACCTGAATATACACAGTGGCTGAGTTCAGACAGCCACGTGTATATTTACATATACACAGTCAGTAAAGATCGTTTGGCCATTTCTAATATGATTTATCTTAGCGTGGCCTGGGGCAAATTAAACATCTTAGCCTGGAAAAAATACTTCATTTTTCTATTAGCAGTGGAAATACAGTAGATTTTTTATAACTTAAACTCTAATTAATTTTAATATAAAAATCTTTATTGAGATTAATAATACATACAATACTACACTATAAAATAAAATAATAACACATATTTTAAATTATACCCAAATAACTATTTTCGCAAAATTTTGTGCTTATCAAAAAAACATTCTAAGCAGAGAAATTTTTGGTCAGACTTGACATTTAGTGGTAACTTGCTTAGTTTTATTTATTGAATACTGTCGCCAATAGTCATCTTTATTTCGTTGGTTACAAATTACGCAACGACTTTTTTACCGGCTTGAAGAAATTTATGGTCTGACGGTGTGTTATGCACACGCAAGCATAATTTTTCTTTGAAATCTGTTATAATTATTCTTTCTGGTACAGTTTTCTTATTTAATTACTATTTATAACTGGGAATAAGCCACAATTAAAGATAAAAATACGTTTATTGACGTTTCAATTTCCAATTCGGAAATCGTTCTCAAAATACAAACAGTTTGTATTTTGAGAAGGATTTCCGAATTGGAAATTGAAACGTCAATAAACGTATTTTTATCTTTAATTGCGGCTTATTTCCAGTTATAAATAGTAATTAATTTACAATGCCACAAGAAAATAGCTTCAGAACAATATAGTTTTGCTATTATTATATAAATAATGAGCATTTACTATGCCTGTTCCAGTAAGTGGTTCAACTGCCACCTTCCTGTGTCATTTAATGCTCCGTCTAATAGGGGTAGAATAAGACGACAATTGGTCGGATACATCATTGAAACTTTTTGCATTGTTATAAGCCACTCCGACTTCATTTTGACCTCAATTCTATCTGGAACATCAATAAAATTCAATCTATGTTGTAAGCATCAGGACGTCGCGCTTATATTTCTACTTAAAAATGACAATGCTCTCTCCTCCTACAGTTTCACCTTTCTTCAGTTTGTTTACCAGTACTTCTTTCGGAATACTTTTCCGATTTTTTCATAGTGTTCCTACTAGGCGCGTTTGTCTGCTTTGTAACTTTTCAGCTAGCTCTACGCTGGTGTACCAGTTGTTAGTGTACAATGTCATTCCTTTGTCAAAACATTTGTCCATAAGTTCAAATACTACTTTAGTTGCCACAGACATGCCATCAATTTTGTATGCACCCCAATAAATTTTGCAGTGATACATATACCCCCATTGATGCATAGCTTAAAGAGTTTGATTAAAAATTTGTTTCTTTCCTTTCACATATTGGCGAAATTTTGATCGCCCGCCAAAGGGTACCATCGTTTCATCTATGCAGATATTTCCATCCGGTACTATAACCTTTTTAAATTTCTAATTTAGCAAAGTTACCAGGAACAGAACTTTGTACAGTTTGTCTTCTGCTTTACATAAATCATTATTTGCGAAGTGGCACATACACGATATAGATTCAAATCTATTTCAGGAACAAATATCCTGCAGCTTTTGACCAGTATAAATCCGAATTTCTCCAATAATCAGCCAGTTTATGGTCCAGACCCATCCAAATCAGTACCCCCAAAAAGCAATACATTTCACTCACATCTGTGTCTCTCCATTTATGCAGTCTTGAAGATGGACTGATGGTTTCTTCAACAATATTATTCAAAATCTCCTGATTTGCATATATGTTGGTTTGTTCGACAATAATGATGATAATTTCTTCATCTACTAAAAGTCTGAAGTAGGCTAATTCCTCTTCATTTTTCATGTTTAGTTCTTCCATTAATCCTATATTTTCTTTAAAATTAAAATTTCTCATATCGCCAATTAGTAATCCCCCATCAGTCCCTATATTTTCTTCTTTCCCTGAAGAATCTTGATTATCTGACTCATCGCTATCTGAAACAAAAAAAAACAAAATGTAACAGCATGTCAATAGAATACATAAATTTGCATTTAAATATAGTCATACCTAACATCTTGTGCTATTCACAAATAAACATGACCTATTGCCCTTGTAATTTTCTACCCTCTATTGCAAGCTCATTGGGATACAATAAAATAATTACAACATAATATACATATGTACCTATAACACAAATATGATTTTATTGGCAAATATGTATAAGTATATAAACTATCAGTAACAGCCCTATACTTATTTATTGATCTTTATTCAAACTTACCCTTAGTAGTTATCTGAGGTCTTTTAGTTGGTATGTCACTGCTGTTCTGTGAACTCTCTGTTTCATAGTCAGGATACAAGAAAGGCCCAACACGTAAAGGTACAAATGGGTCTACTGATTAAGTAAATAAGTAAGTAACAAGAAAAACTACCTTTAGGAATAAATGAACTGCATGATGTAACATTTAGAGTCGAACTAATAAATACAAGCCAACGTCAAACTGTTGATTTATACAAGATACTACAAGTCTAGACTGTGTATCCATACCTTTACATGTGGCATACAATAAAAAACTGCTTTTACAGGGCACGTATATTTTTCCTAACCAGTCAAACTACAAAAAATATAATTAAATTATTTAAGCAATGTATCTAAGGCATGTTGATAAACAATTGTAAATATATTTTTATAAAAAAATTAGTATGGGGCACCCTTATGGTGAATTTGGTACGGCAGTCAAAGTGTTAATGGAAATGAAATAAACGAATACTACTAATTTAAATAGTATATATTTTAGTTAAGAAAAACTAGATATAACAATTATAATCACAACATACATGACACTAACTACTTATAAAGTAAACCACCCCGGCATGTTCTGTCTCTCTTTGTTTTTAGACACAAAATCTTGGTACCCCTCCTTGGCTTGCTTTAGAGCTTTCTTATGATCTTCCATTTCTTTATTAACACTGCCTTCAAACAAATCTGGAAACTTAAACTCCTCTCCTTTGGGCTAAAACAAATCCGAATGCAATTAGATGAAAAAACATTTTAACAAAAACTTACCAATGTGACATAGGCGTATTTTATATCGTCGTCTTTGACAACATATCCGTGTGTTTTCTCTCTTCTAGTTTTCGGCATGTGTATCCTAGTACGTACATCAGCACACTTAACATCATAAATTTTTTCTAAATAATTTTTAATATCGTGTTTAGTCATTTCCATAGAACAGGAAAAGGTAACGATATTAGCGGGTTGCGCATGAGGAGGCCTAACCAGTTTCATCCAGAAGTTTGGAAGGAACACCCTCAACTGGGGCCCACCTTTTTGATATATGGGATACCTGAAAAATGTACATTTAAAATTGTCGTAACAAAGTAAATAATCGATATTTACCATCTAGTAGACATTTTTGTTACTTATTATGCTTTTAATTCATTAATAAAACTATATTACAATTATTTTTCTTAAAATCTACTATATTTATTTAGAAATTTAGGTTATGGACTTTTTCTTCTTGTTTCAATATATTCTGACATTAATTTTTAGTTGTCAGATTATTTATAGGGTGATTTAGAACATAAATGTATTAGTGCATTAAACTATTCATTGCCCAATAGTTTTTAAATCATTTTAAGTCCACATAAGTATTTGTGTTTTTTATCTAAAAAAAGATTATATTTTTTCAAAAAAAAAAATTGTACCAACTGCTAACTTCATGAATAACCCAAAGGAAATACTTGCCTCCAGGCATGAAATTGCATAGGAAATTGTCGGTTGTCAACAATGTTATTTTGATGTTTGACGTTTAGATTTGTTGTGTGCCGTGAACAATTTGTTGAGGAAAAATGGCAGAGCCTGAATTAAATGTAGACAGTTTGATACAAAGATTACTAGAAGGTAAATATCTTATTATTGTTATAGTTTGAATACCTTACAACCTTTCACGCAAGTAAAATTTTTAAAATATCTCCAATTTGCATGGTTTTCTCTTAATACACTATTAGTACTTCCTAATGATTGAGCTGTCAAATACATATTTTGCACTTTATTTCATATAAAAACCACAACTGTAAATATTTTCTATTGTTATTGATTTAATTTCGTATTACCGTTTGTTATCAATAGAAAAACAGTTCGAGCTTCATGTAAATATATATCTAGAGATTTATTTTTATACTTAGTTCTGCCTGTTTTTGTGCTGCTTTTGGTGTGATTTGGGGTAAAAGGGTATAAAATTCAGCAGGAGGCCCAACTCGATGTCAAGAAGAAGTCAAAAATAAAAGATATATTTTTATCCTCTGACAGTAAGAATACCAACATCTTTGCCTAATAGAAGTGTTGTAATATCTTAGCATAGGTACTAAAATAGTTTGGATAAACATTAACAAGGAAGTGATAATTCTCTCAAATATTCAAAACATTAGCAGAGTGTACTATTTGTGTAATTTTTTCTAGTACTGTATTTCATGGAATTGGTCATACATTAAACAATTTTCAGATAAAAATCAGCCATTAAACATAATGAATTTTATTACTTAAAACATTCTTTAACTCAATGATATTAAAAAAGCAATTATGAATTAAGTTTGAAATGTCTCTAGCTTGTAAGATAAATCCTGCATGGATTATGTCAAGGTTCTATTTCTATGAAAGGATTACCATAAAACAATATTTCTATATATTTTTTTTAATAAAGAAACAACAATAAACACACAAATGCATAATTTTACTAAAATATAACTTTCTAAAATTATAATATTTGCTGAAAATGTAATACAAACATTATAGAAATCATTTAAAACATAATCCAAAGTTAGTCCAGACAAGATTTATTTTGAAGTGAAAATTTTTAGAAAATACTCAGGTTTTTGATGATTAAATTGAGATGCATGTCAAGAAAATTTGTGAATAAATAAATAACTAAATTTGGTGAATACAGTTGGTAGTGTAGTATTTTTATTAATCTAATTTATTGTCTTTATTTATTATCAAAAGTTCTCCTCTTATAACACTTACAATTTGTTTTAAAGCCTTTATTTGTAATAATTTATCTCACACTAATATTTACATAATTTATTTACAATATGTGCGTTACATTTAAATCAAACCGACGCGATATTATCTTCTGACTGACTGTTTTTTCCACAAAAAGGTTCCTTTATATAAAATGCCGTTAGCATGGAATCCTCTCTCGAATCCCATGGATCTTGGATCTTGGAATAGCTCAATGGCAGCGCGCCAAGTCAATTCAGGTATTACCTGGAATTTCTGTCGGCTGACAATCTAGAACATATCAGAATTAGAAAGAATATGTTTACAGTTTTTATGAGTCATAATTTATCGTAACAGTAGTCTATTAATTTATCTCACAATTAGTGTAATTTTGTAATATACTCACTTGTGAAAGCTTACTTTCTGGAGAATAATTTTTGCCAGGCAAAATAGCATTTTTGTCAATTGGTCATCAACATAACAGTCTCAACATAAAAAATATAAATCAAAAACAGTAATCTTCTTCTGGTCTTCTTTAGTAAGTGTTTTGAATTTTTAAAAATGTATCCATGTTTTATTAACATGATTTACAAGAAATGCAAAATCATTGCCAAAATGTTCTCCAAATCCAGACTGTTTGAACACCCTGCATCCGTTGTGCAAATAGCTTTTTGTAGGGGTATCCAAGTGTGGGTACCAAGTTGACTCTATTTATACTGATTTCTTGAAGGCCTTTGACACAGTAATCAATTTTTTGCTTATTTTTAGATTAAGATGTATTCGCCTTGCTGAATGGTTTCTTTCATGGTTAAGTAGTTATCTTGATGAAGGAGTTCAGTTTGTTTTTATAAAGGGTTCACTCTTGATTCCCATCTTGGTCAGTTCAGGGGTCCCACAAGCTTCGCATGTGGGTCTTCTTCTGTTTAACTTGTTTAATGATGATATTTATGATGTAATACAGTTTTGTCAATTTTTACTATTTGCTGATAATTTTCAGCTATACTTCAAAGTTTCAAATCTATCTGACTGTCTAAGGATCGAAAAGACCTGACTTTACTATATAATTTGGTCAGTAGTAGTATATTAGCAATAGTAATGTGATTATTTTTCTAATATATGATACAGTATCATCCATATCAGTAACTCTTGGGTTATTTTGAAAACTTTGCCAGAAAGAGAAATTATAAAGGTTCCAGAATGGATAATATACACAGTAGTATTATTAATTTATTTTGGGGAGAGTGTCTATTTCTGTTGTTCATGAGTTTGGTAATGTGTTGGTACTTACTTACTTTCCATGTCCGGAACACCAACAGCTTTAAATTTTGTGTTTCCAATGGTGGGGTCACATAGATGGCCCTGTCATTCGCTAAGAATAGGTCTTCTTCTGTGCAGGTCTCTCATCTCTGTGCATGATAGTAGATGGTGATTATTCTGAACCGCGCCACAGTCGCAGGTATCGTCCTCCTGGTATCCCCATTTCTTCAGGTTACTAGCACAACATGAAACGCCAGTTCTTAGTCTGTTTAGCGCTTTCCATGTGGGATACGGCAAATTGTGTCTAGCAGTCATTTCCTCTGAGGGAGCAAAATGTGTTGTAGTTGACGCCTGCCATAGGTGTATTTGGCATGTCTTTGGATCTTCGGGAAGGGATCATGATTTTTTCAGAAAGCTTTTCCCAGATCTTAATCTACTTGGCTGAACTTGGTGGTCATACAAGGGATGTCTTTGATCCGTCTCCTGCTTCTTTCGTTCTATCTCTGACATGACCTGTCTTCTGATAGCAGGTGGAGCGATTCCAACTATAGGGTAGATCTCTTCGATAGGTGTTGGTTTCAGGCAACCAGATATTATACGAACTGTTTCATTTAACGCAACATCGATGTTTTTAGGGTGAGCAGAGTTTTCACACACTGGTGTTCCAAACTCGGCGGCAGAAAAACATAATGCTAAGGCAGAGGTATGGAGAGTGTGTGGTTGTGCTCCCCATTTTATGTTTGTAAGTTTGCGGATGATATTATTTCTCCCGCTTACTTTTTTCTTGATATCTTGACAGTGATATCGATAAGACAGAGTTCTATCCAGACGTACGACGAGGTATTTTGGCGTCTCATTGTGTTCCAGCATCTGACCACGCCATTCTACCTCCAGTGTCCTTCGGGCATGCTTGTTTTTAAGGTGGAAAGCATACACCTGGGTTTTTGTAGGATTGGGTTTCAGATGGTTTTCGTCATAGTATAGTGCTAAGTCTTCTAGGGCATCTGTCAGTTTTACTTCGACTTCATTTAAGGTACTTCCCTGAGCTGCCACAGTTGTATCATCCGCGTAAATAAACTGTCTTGTTTATTGGATTTGGTTGGTGTAAATGTTGTATAGCAATGGCGCGACGACACTTCCCTGTGGGAGTCCATTTTTTTGGTCCCTCCACCGACTGTTCTTGGACTGGAGCGTTACCTAGAAGCGTCTTTCCTGGAGAAGACATTTCATTAACCTTGTTAGTCGGAAATCCTTTGTAATTTCGTAGAGTTTTACTAGCAGCCGTTGATGGTTAACTGTGTCATAGTCGGCAGTCAGGTGTATGAACGATACTCCTGTTTTTTCTTTCCGTTCAAACCCATCTTCAATATGTTGGGTGAGATTAAGAGTTTTCGAAGCTCTTATTTAATATGCTAGATGCTTTTTAGATGCTTTTGCATGTTGTGCACTCAGTTGCTCACTAACTCAAAAAGGTTTTGTGGAAGCTGTTTTACAAATTCTTGTATGATTCTTCTAATTCTGTCTAATCTTTATAGGTCTTCTTATTACTTGGTTCTTTGATGGATATTTGCTCTATTTCTGCTTGCAGATGCAAAACTTGACTTAGGCTTGACGTTTTTGTGGTGATATTCTACCGACCCAAATTTTTAGTTGCACCCTTTCATTAGACCTTCTCTGGAGTAGTGTTATTGGATATTCTGCCTTTCGGTGATTCTAAGCATGACTCTTTCCATGCTTCTCTGAGCTACTCTTAAATTTTCTGCTGTCTTTTTTCCAAACCAACTTTCAATGAGACCTTTAATAATTTGTCAAGCATCTGTTTTGCATCAGCAATGTTGTCTGTGATAAGAATGATATCATATGCGAATCTAAGGTGATAAACTGTTCTCTGTGTTCCCAAGAAACTCCTATTTCATTGCGACTCTTCTTAGAGTTATTCAATTATTGGTATTGAGGTCATAATTCTGTGTTTTTAAGAATTTGAGAATCTTAAGTGTTTGATTGTTCTGTCTATCAGAAATATGTCACAAAATTCCTATAATGGCTAATTTTTGTTCTCTGCAAGTCTAAGTAAGATATCCTGCCAACCTGTCTGTAGCTTTATTAGTACAAGTACTTAAAGAAAGTGTATTATTCGATTCATTGATAGAATTACATCTTAGATATACTCTTTTAGCATGACCTGTAAAATGTTTAACTGTTTATTCTAGATATCAAAACAATCAACTCGTTCAGTTGTAGTCTAGCACCATATTACTTCGATCTGCTTTGCTGACAACTAGATATTTAGTCTTTTCCATATTTAGTATCAAAGCACAAGCCTTATATTATTGATCCAACTTTCTTATCATGTATCTTACATCATCCGTATCCCCAGGTAATATGACTTGGTCGTCAGCAGATAATTATGTTAAATAAACACGATTTCTGTAGCCTTCAGCTTTTAACAATTTACAGTTGGCAGCTGAGAAAAAATCCAATAGAAAAACTTAGCTGAGAAAAGGCTGATAATCTAGAAGTGATTTGGATAAAAAATATTTTTTGTGAGCTTTCTTTTTCTTAACTATAAGGTCCTTCAACTATGAAGAGAACCAAGATGGGAATCTACGTTTTGAATATCTTTTTAGTGATATGTGATAAATACTTCTATAGCTAAGTTTTCACATGGTCAAATAACTTAGAAACTATCACTAACCAAACCACTATTATTGAGGCACCTTTTGGTCATCTATCTCAAATTCCAGGCTTGGGTGGTGCATACCCTCTCTTAAAAGAACTTCACCTGCCCTTAACACAGTTACGTCAGCATTATCAACCAGCACCAAGTCGCATTATTACCAGTTGCATTCACAATATTGTTGGACTGAAACAAATTGTAGTATGCACACATACCAGACAAAACCTGCAGGGTTTCAACTTCAGATGCTGTGGCAGCCGGCAAATTGTTGTAGAGTTCATATCATTTGAAAACTATTCACAGTTTGGTGAATTGAAATCAGTAGCCAGATAATAGTGTGTAGATGGATAATCTTCAGCTAGTTTCAGAAAAAATTTG